ATATATAAAACCTGAATTAAGAAAATAAAAATGTCTTCTATGTGAAATATAAACATAAATGTACCAGGTTCATGCAGTGTTTATTCATATTTTAGTGATGACGTGTTTGGGCCCTAGAAAATACTTGACTAGTGTATAAAGTACTTGTGTAACAGTATTTAGTTAATTTTATAAACACATGTGGTTGGTTTGAGTCACACACACACAACAAGGATAGTTTTCACTTTATTTTATTAAAAGATCATCTCGTCTGCAGACACGTCATCAGAGGGTCGAGACCTTCATTCATGCACAGACTCACACTCTGAAGTGAAGATCCACAGAGATAATAACAGTGTGTTATCTGATACACACTCGTATCACGTCACAGTAACATCTCATAGTTTTTACTGTTGGATCAGCACAGTCAGAATTTATCTGCCAAACGTAAAATCACCTGTTAAAAGTAGGAAACTGTACAAAAAATACACAATAAACAACATTTTCAATCATTGAAGTTCATCCAGTATTGTGTAAATACAGATACTCATCAACATTCAGGTTTCACTGGAGGAGACCGACGTCCAGTTCAGAGAAATAATAACATCTTGTCCTTTCTTATAAAAAGAAAAATGAAGTGTCATGCTACTAAAGTGGCTTTGAAGACTCCTGATTAAAACCGTACCTTGCTGTATCGTGACGCACCACAAGGTGGAGCTATTCAGCCTGCAATGTGGTGTCATGCAAACCTTACAATGTAAATAAAGATGGACGCCATGATGGCTCCTAAAAGTGAAGCCAAATCATCTGCATTAATTTAGAATCCACACACTCTGATTGATGACCTCACAGTTCCCTGCTGTCCGTCATCCCAGTGAAATCCCTCCCTGGGCTGATGGGTGCGAACACAGTGTGTCTCACAGTATCAGTGACGTGTGAACAGTGGAGATTCACTGTTAAATTAAAATGTAAATGTCCCCTCGCTGACCTTCAAAGCTCAGTGTCTTCAATGGCCTCTGGTTCGTCTATGGTGTCCAAACGTCTCTTGCAGGCGTCCAGCAGTTTTTTCCTGGGGCCCAGAGGGATGTGAATGCTGGAGAGGTCCCGGTCTGAACAAAGCAGCAGAGCCTGCAGGTCGATCTTCTCCCTCCTGAAGATCGGCATGAACTCACCGAGGCTCTGCGAGGCCAGGAACGTCTCCAGAGGACTGTTCTCTGGTTCCAGGTCCTCGTCCAGTCCAACATCCGCCTCCTCCCAGGGCAGCTCCTGCTGGTTTCTCTCTTGCAGGCTCAAGGCGCTGCCGATACTGTCCCTGTCAAAACTGGACGAGCGGCGAGGCAGATGTCCACGTAGACGAACATTAGGCGCCCTGCCCACAGGTTCACTGCCCACGACACTCCCCTCGTCTTGTGCCCCGATCCCAAACATGCCCCCACTCAGGTAGTTCCTCCTGAACACCATGGTGCCAAGTCCAGGTCGGTTGAACAGCGAATCACGGCCGGAGTCTGCGCTGATCTCCGAGTACGCAGCCTCGTGGAGGCCCGGGTCGCTCATGGCACGGGAGACGGTGTCAGCATCGTCATCGTTGTCCCCGGGGAACATGTAGCGTATGTTGAGGCGTGACCTCTGCTTGGGGTTGGTGTAGGTGCCCTGCTTAAGGAACATGACGTCATTGCCCAGCTGCAGGCCGGACAGCGAGCGCACACTTTTCCTCCCGTCCTCGTAGACCTTAAACGTTCCGTCAACCTGCTTCTTCTTCTCCAGCTTCTTCTGGATCTTGGCCTTGCCCTTGGCTGTGGAGTGCAGAGTGGCCTGAGAAGAAAGTTTAGAAACAAGGAATCAGGTTCTTGTCTGAAAACAGCTGAAGGTTTGGTTTGGATCAAACATCTGTTTTGTTATTTATGTTTGTCGACTGAAAGACAGGACTTTGATTCTACTACCTGTGAGTATGGCATGTTAGACGTGACAGTGTTGAACTTGCGGCTCAGTGTGCTGCTGCTGGTGTAGCTAGAAAAGCTAATAGCGTCCAGGTTGTCTAAAGCCGCCGACTCCTTCATGAACTTCCTCTCCATGTGTTCTCGGTGCTTCCTCTGCAGCTTTGCACAATCTTTGATGCGGCGCTCTGCAGCTCGGAACGCCCGGTCCTTCAGTTTGCTGACCAGCTTCGGGTTCAGGGTGATCTGCTTGGCGGCGATGGAGTCCAGGTAGCGAACGCAGTCCATGTGGCCCTTGGTGGCGGCCATGTCCAGCGGTGTGTGGTAGTCATTGTCCAGACACCACACGTTGGCACCGAACGCCACCAGGAAGGATAGGCAGTTGTGGTGACCGTTGGCAGCTGCCAGGTGGAGCGGCGTGTTCCCCCAGATGTCACACTTGTCCGGGTCACCTCTGGGGGAAGAGGAGACGAGAAGCCATGTTGGATTAATGGACTCACACATTCAGTTTCTCATTCAAGTCAGTTCAGCCACTAATGTCGTGTCAGAAATGTCTTTAATATATCAGGCTCTAATAATCACTGCCACGTTTCAAGAGTCGGTTTTCTTAGTGTCTGAAAAGTGCAGCACACGTATAAAACTTTAAACTCTCTATTTTCTATCTTTATTCTCTCTCACATTTCTACTTTGACCATTCCAGGACAGATTTTCAGAGTGTGTGGTTTGAGCATCTTTCTCTGAAAACTCAAAACTCGATTTATTCTCGTTTTTTCTGCGGAAGTTTCTAAAATTCATCTCCTGCTCCGAACAGATGTTTTGTGAGAAACTCCGTCTCACCTTGCTGATCGTCTCACGCTGAAGTTAGGAAGTGATCATGTGACCTGTAGTTATGTCACTTCAGCTCGTCAGGTCACAGATGCTTTGGTGACTCACACATGTTATAACTTGAGTTGAGTGATGAAACGTTAACAACTAGTTTTATCAACCGTGAGTTAAACCTGGGTACTGTTCTGATTACTGAAGATACTGCAAAAGTCTTTTGACCTTTGACAGTTTCATAAATATGATTGATAATAATACATTTGATGAAGAAATCCTGAGATCCACGAGAGATATAAGAAGATTGAAGTGTCTGTTGTGCAGGTCTGTGGTTCCATTACCTCTAGACGGAGCCAGGCATCTTTAAATCTACCTTGTTTATTAATGGATCTTTATCAGTGGGCCTCAGTAAACAGGGTTGAACTGTGTTGAACTGGTTTCAGCTGACGTCCCCTCCTCTTCCTGTTTACTCTCCACCCACATGACTGAGTCCTGATCAATAATTGAAGCGGCAGGTTAAACATGACAGAGGTGACTTTGCATTATTTATCCCACACACACACACACCAGACTCCACAGGACCAGGTCGCCACCTCTACCTGCCTGATTTCACTTCCTGTCTGCAGCGCCTCACCCTGGCAGAGAGCAAACACTACATCAGACACCAGAGCACCAAAGTGTGAAGTTTGTTTCCCTGTGAGATGAAAGGATGATCGATCAGATCACGTTTCAAAGGTACGAGTAGGAAATGTGTCACTGAAGTAACGTGGAGGAGAACCACACTGAACGATCTCAAATAGTAACTGGAACATGTGCAACGAACAAATCTTTGTTTTAAATTTTCAAGTTGTGCTCTTTCCCTGCGTGTAGCCACACTCACTAATAATTAAAAATAACTGAATCACATCAAGAAAATAAAATCTGAAAAGTTCCGTGAAGTTTCTAAAGTGAAATGAAATAAAATAATTTGCAGTGACGAGTTTCAAAAGGACCTTCTTCTTCTTTTATTCACGTATTTGCTGTGAACTCAGATTTCATCTGCGCTGCATCATCCTGCAGCGACCGAGGAACCAGACGCTCAGATTTATCTCTGTGACCTTTCATGTATCTGCAGCATCAGACTCATCCTCACTTCACTGCCTCCAGCGATAAACCTGCCACCAGCAGGATGACGAACTGACTGACCCTGCTGAGAGTCGCCCTGCTGAGTCTGCTGCCACAGGACAGATGTTCCTGCTGCCACAGGACAGATGTTAATCCTGCTGAGTGACCTTTCTCTGTAATGACGCTGTTAAAATGTATGAGACGCAGCACAGGGGCACAGTATTATTATTTATTTATTTATCTCTGTGTTAATACAAGCAGGCAGGGGCAGTGAGGTAAAGTTATGATATGT